ACCAATGTTACGTCCCCCTGTGCTGTTTGCCTTCTGTCACATTTCCTTCTGACCATTGTTGGGAAAGAGGCTCTGCTTTTAAGGATCCAGGTAATTAAATGGGGTCCACCAAGATAATCCAGGATAATCTCTCTCTTTCTCAATGTCTTCAACCTAGGTCATATCTGCAAAGTTATCTTTTACTATGTGAGGAAATATATTCACAAGTTTCAAGGATTAGGAAGTTGACCTCTTTGTAGGAGGGTGCGTTTTTCTGCCTATCACGAATACATTGCCTCAACTTCTCTTTCTCACATTTATTTGTCAAGTACTACATTATATATGTTAATTTTTATAATCTTAGAAATTGAAACTAACATTAAATAGATTTATACATTAAATAACAACAATAAATACATTAGATATTAACATAAGTAGCACAATTTTTGAGTTTGAAGAAGTTTAGCTCTAACTTATTAAATGTACAAGGGACACCATCCAGAGAAACAATATTTCACATGTGATTACTGGTCATAACAAAATACTAAGTAAATATTCATTTCCTTTCTTTTCTTAGTTTAAGTGTGCTCATTTAGTCTTTTGAACTCATTCCAATTTCTGGTTTTGCTATCGTTTTGATTCAGCCTCAGTTTTTCTCCCCCCAGTTGGTAGTGTATGCAGATTCAATGAGGTCTTACATGTTCCATGTTTCAATACACATACGAGGAAACAGTGAATGTAAATTCATGACAAAATGAATAAAAATAACAATGACTGTAAGAAGAAAATAGACAATTAGTGTTCAACACACACCCTGATATTTCCATACGTGCAAATATCATGCATCTATCATATCTAATCACCTTCCTGTACCCTTGTTGCTCTCTCTCCCATCATGCTTCCCAGCTTCTAGTATCCTCTTCTATTTTCAGGTCATCTTTATTTTTAGTTTCCACATATGTGAGAGAGGGAATAAGATACTTGTTTATCTGTGTTTGACCTATCTCATTTAACATGATGACTTCCAGTTTTACTCATTTTTCATGCAGACAGGATTTCATTCTTCTTTGTAGCTGAATAATACTTTATTGTGTGTGTTTACTGTTTTTCTTCTTTTAATTTATTTATATATCTTAGTTATTGTGAATAGTGCTACAATAGACCTGAGTGTTCAGGTATTTCTTTTGAATGCTGACTTATTTCCTCTGTATTTAGGCCCAGAAGTGGTATGGCTGGATTATATGATAGTTCTATTTTTAGTTTTCTGAAGAACCTCTGTACTGTTTTCCATAGTGACTGTACTAATTTACATTCATACCAACAGTATATAAGGGCTTCATTTTTTCCACAGTCTAGTCAGAATTTATTTATTTTTTGCATTTTTTTAAATTTTCATGATTTTTTTTACATTTTAACTTTTTTTTTTTTTTTGCAAATCTCATTGATGTCATGGTTAAAAGAAGATAGTTGTTATATCTGCTTCTAAATTCAATCTTTTGAGATTTCTAATGTTTTTTAGCCTTTGGAAAACTTCACTGTATGCTTGAGAGAAAATGCAAATGGAAATTATAAAACACATATAAAATCATATGCCATCTTAATACTATTGTGAAAGTAGTTATGACCTTAGAAATTTCCAGGAAGTGTCTCAGAGACCATCCAGGGTCCCCATAAAATACTGAAGCACATATTTGTTAAATAAATACAAAGTTTATCCTGGAAATGACAGAGGATCAATTACAATGATGCATGAACACAAAAGATATGGTCTCTACCTTGAAGAGAATTCACCTCCCCACAGAAGTGTTCAATGGAGTCTAGCTCAATGGCAGGTCAGGTTGTGGGAGCTGATGGGTTGGGTTGATGTCCTGATGGTGCTTCTGATACAAGCAGGATGTGAAGCACAGCCACTTGACAGTGTGTCTGACTTTACACAAGGTATGATCGCATGTGATGTCATGAGCTGAGAGTGTCATCCCATTTATACCAGACAACTGAGAATTATTGTCTTTCCAATTGTGCAGATCTTTGTTCTTGAGCATACTGTGAAATTATAGTTTGGTGTATATGAATTAATTCCACTAAATTTAAAGAAGAATGCAGAAGTTTGAGAGATAATTGTTGACTTCAGATCCTCAAACTTAATAAGCTTAGAATGAGCCATAAATCCCATGAGATAACTTTTCTGTTTATATTCCCTTAACAAAATTATCTCTCCTCCCTTAAAATGTCCATTCCCTGTTTCATCACACAAAGTTAGATTTTTAGGCTTATCCATTCTCAGGATATCTATATCCAATCCTGAAAACATCCTGTCAACTTTACTTTGTGAATATTTTCCAATTTGTCAACTTCACCTCTGTTGCTCCCTTGTCTCATAATATGATCTCTCATTAGAACTGTAGCATTATCTTCTAATTGTTCCTCCACTCTCCAGTCTTATTCTCTCTTGTCTTTCTTTCTTTTTTCTTCTCTTCCCTTTTCTCTCCTCTTCAACCCAGGTGCAATAATGATTCCTGCACATGGCTTAATAGATCACATTTGTCTTCATAGTAATGAGTAAGTTCCTAACATCTTTCATTCAACCCTTTAACAAATCCTGTTATTTATTCATTATAAATTTCGTATATCTTTTCCCTCTACTTCCATGACCACCCCCTGCTCCAAACCAGTGTCCTTTCTTACTTAGTATTATTACAATGACCTAGGTTTTTTTCCATCCCCCCCTGCTGCTTCCCATGTCTCCTGAAGATGATCCTGTAAAACAGAAACCATGTCAAGTTAAATTCCTGCTCACAATTCCCCAGTGACTCCCCATCTAATTCTGAACTGAAATTCCAGACTTGACTTGGGTGATATGGTCAGCACTACCTTTCTTTCCTCCTTACTCTCCATGTTCTCCACACCACAGTGGCAGATGCAGTGGTGCTCCCAACATACATAAGCACAAAATATGTTCCTGCTCTACATCTTGAACATGCCCTTCTCTCTACTGGAATCCTTTTCCCTCCAAGATATGATTGTGCTGCATCCTCACATCCTTGAATTATCACCTCAGTGAAGCTACCCTTGACTGTCTTAAAATTAAAACTTTTTTCAACACAGCGCTTACTCTCCTTTTCTATGTTAATTTTTCTTCATAGCACTTTTCACCCTTTTTAAATTTTCTCATGTTTATTGCCTGTTTAACCTTATTAAACTCCAAGACTCCTGAGGGCAATGTTTTTGTTGGTTCTGTTTTATTGCTCTATTCCCCAAACCAAAAACATTGCAGGTATATTAAAGTAGGTACTCAATAGATATTAGCTGAGTGAATGACTAAATACACAGTCATTGCAAGTTCTGATTCCTGTGTATTCCTGGCTGCACCTCAAGATACCTCCTCCTCTCAGTCTCAAGAGAACTCAAGTCTGAGTGGTTCTTGCATATTTTGTGTTTTGTTTTATGCAGGCTGGGGATCAAATGGAGGGCATCATGCTTGCTGTGAGAGCACCATACCATGGAGTTACAACTCCAACCTTGAGCAGTTCTTTACAAGAATTGTTAATAGTTTCTCAACAAATACTACTCCCTGTCATCTTTTGGCTTCTTTACAAAATACTTGCTTTGCTTAGAATAGTAATTTTCCTCAAATTTACCTGGATAACACCAAGCTCACCTTCAAGACTCAATTTGTATATCACCCAGAATGATAAAATATTCCAGATTGCTTCACCAGAACATGAATTCCTTCAGGATGAGAGATGTATCTTGTTTGCCAATTTATTCCCTGTAATTTTTGTAGAAGTTCATTGTATGAAAGTGTGAGACTTGTTCCGCATTCTATTTCATGCTTAACTACAGCCTCAGAGCCTGCTGTAATTATTGTCTATTCTCTTTTTCCTTCTTTCTTTCTCTTTCTTTCTTTTTTTTTTTTTTTCTGTGCTGGGGTTTATACTCAGGGTCTCACACATGCGAGGCAAGCCTTCCACTGTGGAACTACATCATATGTTTAAGTAGGCAGCCTTGTGACATAGACATTTTTAGATTCATTTGAATAGAACATTGAATTAATTTTTAAAAATTTGTTCTTTTTAGATATACATGGCAGTAAAGTATATTTTGGAATATTATACATACATAGAGTTCAGAAAGGTAACAATTTTCCAAAGTCACACAGAAATTAGGACTTTCTCAGCCAGACTTTGTTTATTGAACTTTCTAGTATATCAAAATAATATGAATTCACTATAAGATGTAAGAGAACATAACTAATGTGTGGATATAGGAATTACAAGTGCATGTCAAAATTATAAGTGCCTATGCAATGGTTTCATGTTTTTTCTGAAGTTTTGAAGTATATAGACACATAGATAGTAGAATGTATTTTGAGATATCATTTATATATGGAGTATAACTTCCCATTTTGTGGTTGTACAGGATGTGGGGTTACACTGCTCATGTATTCATATATGAACATAAGAAAGTTGTGTCAGATTCATTCTACTGTCTTCCCTGCACTCCACCCTTACCAATCCAGCAAACACCAATTCCCCTATTGTGAACAGTCTGTATCAACATATCAGAGAGAACATTGGCCTTTGGTTTTGGGGGATTGGCTTATTTCACTTAGCATAATAGTCTCCAGTTCCATCCATTTATCAGCAAATGCCATAATTTAATTCTTCTTTATGGCTGAGTAATATAGAAACCACTCTGGACTCACACATAATCTATGCTATTATATATTTGCTGCCTGGGGCTAATCTTAACTCTGCCACAGTATCATATTCTAGGTTCACACATTCATCATACAGAAATAGCTTTTTTCATGGCAGACCAGAGGAGATCCTGGTGGTGGAGGGCATGGAAAATACAACTTACCAGTACCATAGTCTACTGTCTCCCTCCACATTCACCTGAACAGAGTGAGAACTGTGTGAAAGCTGTGGTTTGCTCATTCTTGTATGTTTGTTGTGCAAATAAGTAAGTTTCCTCTATTTTATGCATGTGAGATATTATAAAGATAGAAGAGGAAGGATGCATTGAAGGAGATGGTGCCTCCAAGACTTGACCTAATTAGTAACAAAGAGCGTGGGTCACCCGATCACGAATCTGTTTAGTCTTCACACTGTAGACAATGGGGTTCATCACAGGAGGGAACAAAAGATACACAAAGCCCATAACCACCTGGACCAGATGGGGTGCCTTCTTTCCAAAGCGATGGATGACAGACAAGCCAATCATGGGAGTGTAGAAGAGGAGCACAGCACAGATGTGGGAAACACATGTGTTAAGAGCTTTGAGCCTCTCAGCCCTGGAGGCAATGGATAACACAGTTCGCAGGATCAGAGCATAGGATAAGAAGATCAGCAGTGAGTCTACACCTACTGTGGAGACAATGACAAACATGCCATAGATACTATTGGCCTTAATGTCTGCACAGGCCAATTTCATCACCTCTTGGTGGAGGCAATAGGAATGTGAGAGGACTGGAGAGCCACAGTAGGGGAATCTTTTGAGCATAAAAGGCAAGGGGAAAATGAGGGCTACACTCCGGCCCAGAGATGCAAGGCCAATTCTGCTAATGACTGTGTTGTTGAGAATGGAAGCATAGTGCAGGGGGCGGCAAATAGCCACAAAACGGTCAAAAGCCATAGACAGTAGCACAGAGGACTCCAGGAAGGACAAGCAGTGAATGAAAAAGAGCTGGGCAAAACAGGCATCGTGACCAATATCTCGTGCCCCAACCCAAAAGATACCCAGCACTGTTGGGAGGGTGCAAAGGGACAGCCCTAGGTCAGTCAGAGACAGCATGGACAAGAAGAGGTACATAGGCTCATGGAGGGAGGGCTCTGTTTTAATGATGAAAAGAATTGTGCAGTTGCCCAGGATGGAGACCAGGTACATGAAGCATAGTGGGATGGAGATCCAGATGTGCACATGCTCCAGCCCAGGAATGCCACTCAGCAGGAAGGAAGACATCATGCTGCTGCTGTTTCCCACGGATCCCAGTGTCATTGTATGTGGGGAGAAAGGGTGAGGTCAATTTCTTCTAAAACCCTGACCTGAATTGTGCAAATGCTGTTGATTGCACCTTGAAGAAATTGAATGAATGTGAGGAGGGAGAGAGAGAGAGAGAGAGAGAGAGAGAGAGAGAGAGAGAGAGAGAG